CTTTCTAGATGTAACAGTCATGGAAAAGGGCGGAGGTTTCCACACTGCAGTCTACACTAAGGAAACAAACATAGGAATGTGCCTAAATGCCAACAGCGACTGCCCAGACAGGTACAAGAGGAGTGTTGTTAACGCATATGTCGACCGTGCTCTCAGCCACAGCTCAGAATGGAAGCAAGTCGACGAAGAACTCTGTAGGGTAAGGCAGGTCCTAGTCAATAACGGCTTCTCCAATGGTTTCGTCGAAGACATCATAAGAAGGAAAGTGAAAAGCCATGCAACCTCTGAAGAGACAACTAACACAACACCTATACCCCCTATTAGACTATTTTACAGGAACTTCTTTTCCACAGCTCATAAAACGGAGGAAAGGGTCCTGAAAGATATTGTTAATAGAAACGTTATCCCTACAGACAAAAATCAGAGGATACAACTGACGATTTACTATAAAACCAGAAAAACGGCCAGCCTACTCATGAGAAACTCTCCAGACACAAAACAGAACGCTTTAAAAGAGACTAACGTCGTCTATGCCTTCAAATGCCCACTTGGGGACTGTAAGCTCCAAAAAACCCAGTATATAGGCAAGACAACAACATCTCTTTCTAGGCGTTTAACGATGCATAAGCAACAGGGCTCCATTAAGGAACATATAATCTCTTCCCACAACCAAACCATCGCCAGAGAAATCCTAGTAAACAACACAGAAATCATCGATAGATACAGCGATAGCAGGCGGCTTGACGTTTGCGAGGCACTACACATCAAGAAGTCAACACCAGCAATCAACAGCCAATTATTGCACAACTATATTCTACCCACCTCAAGACTCCGCTCCAATATAGAAGCATCAAGAAATATGGACCAATAGGCTTTCTACAAACACTTCTATTCAATATCCATTGTTTCGTGTTCTGTCTTGTGTTGATGAAATTAATACCCTATTAATACTCTTGTTCTGTCTTGTGTTGATGAAATTAATACCCTATTAATACCACATTTTGTTCTGTCTTGTGTTAATGCCACATCACCCCTTCCACCTCACTCAAATGTAGATATAAAATCGGAGATACGTAAGTTCTATTCAGTTGTGTATTTGTGAACTAAAGTCTTTGAAAATGTAATAAGTTTTACGAAACGCGCCCGTGTCGCGTCAGACTAGAAATAAAAATGAATTTTGGAGAATTGATTTTTGATTTACCTCCAACAGTGAAGCGTAATGTACGAAAGATTGAGAAAATTCGTGTTAGAATTATTAATCTTACTTTTTCGGTCATATTTAATAATATATACAGGAAAGACTGCTACCAAAATATATATATATATATATATATATATATATATATATATATATATATATATATATATATATATATATATATATATATATATATATATATATATATATATATATATATATATATATATATATATATATATATATATATATATATATATATATATATATATATATATATATATATACATTGTTGCAAGTCAAACACTTCTTCGAATTCCTCTGAAGTTGGACTAGTGCCCAAGACGCAACAGGCATTTCCCCTCTGAATCGCAACACTGAGGCGCTGGAACAAGAAACTTTTTGCTCTCTGGTCTTTTGTAGCGCTGATCAATTTGTCCCCCAATTCCTTCAGGAACTTCAATGCACATTTTCCCCACGAACCGAGGGTCTCCGAGCCGATCGGAACAAAGCTGTAGCAGTGTGCTAGACCTCTGTATTTAATAATTTTCTGCGATTCCCTGAAAGAAGCAGCACCACCGCTTTCACGTGTGCTGTAGTGGAGGTAGGTACTGGCCAGTGTGGCAGCGCACGTGTAGTCCCATACCACTTGCTTACCATCCTTCCAAGGTAGCAAGGTGACCCCATCAGGGCGCTTCTGAGGGTCGTTAGGTCTGGATAAGTGTGGTTCTCTTTGTGCCGGGCAGCGGGCTGTGGCGAGGCTCCTCTTGATGATGTCGTTGACTTCTTCATGTCTTGCAATTTTACCCTGTGATTTACGACATACCAGACCATGACGACCATATTGGTCTGCCATCGCAGTTCCGCAGATGCACCTATGTTCGGTGAGGATCGGGGCGGCAAGGCGAAGGGCAACTCCAATGCGGAGAGCGTCATGACTGAGGCGAGTTCCCAGGGCTGCATTGGGCACAGCAAATAAAAAATCCCCGGCGTGGGGTGCTGTTACCGCTAGGAGGCGGGCTTTGTTTTCAGCATCAGCGTTGTCAATCATTGCTGTGACAGTCTTTTCCATTATGGGGCTATCCCAGTGGGCCTGCTTGTGGTCTTTTGGGACTTGTGGTCGGGGTTGAGGGTGTGCAATGGTGTCCCATTGTCTGGCTGCTTCGATGAACGTTTGATCATGAGTTCCCGCTGTCTCTCTCATACGCTCTGGTAGGATCTGCCCTACCAATTCGTTGGCTGCTGTACATGAGGATAAGAATGCTGGAAGTGCTACCTCAGTTGCCTTTCGTATGCCTATCCCTCCAAATCTCACTGGTAGTGTTGCTTGGTCCCACTGACTGTCATCTAAATCTAGGTTGAGCGCCTTCCTGAATATTGACCTGAGGAGCTCATCATATTGATTTAGAAGTGGGTTGCCAAAAGTTGGTGCACACCTTAAGAAGTATGTTAGCCTGGGCAAGGTAAGGCACTTTGTGAGAAGGTAGAGGGCATCGTGGGAGTCCAAGTCCCCAATTCTCTCTTCCATCCTCTTTAGGTCTCTAAACTTTTCGTCAAGGACTGCAGCAATGGCATTGTGGCCCAGAGGTGCTCCGAGTAGTGTGCTGTCGGTAGGTTTAACGACTGAGGCTTCTGGTAGAACTGATTTCACTGCTCTAATGATTACTTCACTAGATGCAATAATTTCGCACTTATTAAGAACGAGACCCTTAATTATCTATATATTATATATATATAATATATATCTATCTATATATAATATATTATATGCATGCAATAATATATATATATATATATATATATATATATATATATATATATATATATATATATATATATATATATGCGAACAAGCCTGAATGGTCCCCAGGACAATATGCAACTGAAAACTCACACCCCAGAAGTGACTCGAACCCATACTCCCAGGAGCAACGCAACTGGTATGTACAAGACGCCTTAATCCACTTGACCATCACGACCTTGTACATACCAGTTGCGTTGCTCCTGGGAGTATGGGTTCGAGTCACTTCTGGGGTGTGAGTTTTCAGTTATATATATATATATATATATATATATATATATATATATATATATATATATATATATATATATATTATTAAACATGACCAAAAAAGTAAGATTAATAATTCTAACACGAATTTTCTCAATGTTTCTCACATTTTTCTTCAATGTTGAGGGTAACTGAAAAATCAGTTCTTCAAAATTCATTTTTATTTCTAGTCTGACGCGACACTTGAGCGCGTTTCGTAAAACTTATTACATTTTCAAAGACTTTAGTTTACACACACACAACTATAACTGAATAGAGCTGAAACATCGTCGATTTTTTATACATGCATTTGGGTGAGGAGATATGTTACAACAGTTTTGGATGAGGTGAAAACAAACTTTCAACACGAGACAGAAACATGAAACAATGGGTATAATATTGGGTAAGTTTAAAGGGAAGAATGGAAGTAACTGCAAAGGGCCTATTGGCCCGTATTTCTTGATGCTTCTATATTGGTGCGGAGTCTTGAAGTGGGTAGAATATAGTTGTGCTTTAATTGGCTGTTGAATGCTGGTGTCGACTTCTTGATGTGTAGTGCCTCGCAGATATCAAGTCGCCTGCTATCGCTGTATCTGTCGATGATTTCTGTGTTTTTTGTTAAGACTTCTCTGGTGATGGTCTGGTTGTGGGAAGAGATTATATGTTCCTTAATGGAGCCCTGTTGCTTATGCATCGTTAATCGCCTGGAAAGAGATGTTGTTGTCTTGCCTATATACTGAGTTCTTTGAGGCTTACAGTCCCAAAGAGGGCATTTGAAGGCATAGACGACATTGGTCTTTTTTAAAGCGTGTTTTCTTTGTGTCTGGAGAGTTTCTCGTGAGTAGGTTGGCCGTTTTCTTGGTTTTATAGTAGATCGTCAATTGTATCTTCTGATTTTTGTCTGTAGGGATAACGTTTCTATTAACAATATCTTTCAGGACCCTTTCCTCCGTTTTATGAGCTGTGGAAAAGAAGTTCCTGTAAAATAGTCTAATAGGGGGTATAGTTGTTGTGTTAGTTGTCTCTTCAGAGGTTGCATGGCGTTTCACTTTCCTTCTTATGATGTCTTCCACGAAACCATTGGAGAAGCCGTTGTTGACTAGGACCTACCTTACCCTACAGAGTTCTTCATCGACTTGCTTCCATCCTGAGCTGTAGCTGAGAGCACGGTCGACATAAGCGTTAACAACACTTCTCTTGTACCTGTTTGGGCAGTCACTGTTGGCATTGAGGCACATTCCAATGTTTGTTTTCTTAGTACGCCTTTAACCCACTGCACAACTGTGCAGTGGGTTAAGGTTTAGGTTTAGGTTTCTAGGTTTAATCCACTGTCAGTGCAGTGGGTTAAAGGCGTGCCTGTTATGCCAGTTGCTGGAAGGCTTCTGTGCTGGCTAGGGTTCGAGTCTCCTGTGGGAAAGTGTTCTAAAGTTGTGTATATATATATATATATATATATATATATATATATATATATATATATATATATATATATATATATATATATATATATATATATATATATATATATATATATATATATATATATATATATACAGACTCGTCGCCTGTATACATACAGGCGATTAGTCACAATAACGTGGCTAAAGATATGTACATTATCTAATTTAAATGTGAAATAAGTGGAACTAATCTCCATTTATTTCATAAGTGGAGATTGTTTTAGTTGTTTTGTTTTAGTTGAAACAATTGCCAATAGTTCAACCAGACATTACAATTCTATAATATTTCCAGAGTGCCAGTGGCCAAGGATTGTGCTGAACATTACTGCTGGGGAGTGAGGCGGGATGGCGTCTACCTCATCAACCCTGACAGGTAATATTATATCATCCAAACCATGCCAGGGTAATTATCCAGGTCATGCCAGGTAATCTATCCAGGTCGGGCTAGGTCAACCATCAAGGTCATGCTAGGTCAACCATCAAGGTCATGCTAGGTCAACCATCAAGGTCATGCTAGGTCAACCATCAAGGTCATGCTAGGTCAACCATCAAGGTCATGCTAGGTCAACCATCAAGGTCATGCTAGGTCAACCATCAAGGTCATGCTAGGTCAACCATCAAGGTCATGCTAGGTCAACCATCAAGGTCATGCTAGGTCAACCATCAAGGTCATGCTAGGTCAACCATCAAGGTCATGCTAGGTCAACCATCAAGGTCATGCTAGGTCAACCATCAAGGTCATGCTAGGTCAACCATCAAGGTCATGCTAGGTCAACCATCAAGGTCATGCTAGGTCAACCATCAAGGTCATGCTAGGTCAACCATCAAGGTCATGCTAGGTCAACCATCAAGGTCATGCTAGGTCAACCATCAAGGTCATGCTAGGTCAACCATCAAGGTCATGCTAGGTCAACCATCAAGGTCATGCTAGGTCAACCAGACAGGTTGCGCCAGATTAGCCATTCAGGTGGTGCCAGGTCGTCCATCTGGATGGTGTCAAGTCCACAAGGATTATGCCAGCAGCTGATACAATGCAAGGTACGAGAAGTAACACAGTTCCCAGAATTAACACATTTTACCTCTGGGAACTAAATCGTATTAGTTATGTATAGCTACAAGTAAACACATCTAGATTCGAAGATTAATTTTACATGATTATTGAATCAGAATATTTCCCTCTCCGAATCATGAAGGACTAAAATACTTGTTAAGAAACATTATATCCTAATCATCCATATACACATAATATTTTTAATATAAAATTTATTTAAAATTAAGGCCAAAATAATATTTATGAAAGAGGCGTAGCTGTAAACCTGGCTTGTTTATGCTCCTGTCATGATTGTGGGAGATTTCGTCCACTATATCAGTATTTTAATATAAGAAATTTATTATTTCTATCTCATACCAGAATCATAATGTTTATATTATATATTACATCAAATCCTACATCTATTGATCATCTTTAACTCCGACAGTCTGATTCCTAAAGGACAATACCACAATGGTGACATCCGCCATTGGGCCTATGAATGGCTATGTGACTTTGTTCATGTAACTTCAAGAATCTAGAAACTTCAACAAGAAGCTGTTTTAATAAAAAAACATATGAACATAATTTGACTTCCGGTGATTTTTTCAAATTAATAATAAAGAATCATATTGTACTATAAATACTACTTTATATCATTAAATTCATTATATATTTATCTTAAAATCCCACTTCATCTCAAATTAATCGTCTAGACGAGAAAAAATAATCTATAAGTCATAGCTAGTCAACTGCCAACAGAGAGCATGAGGTCGGTGGTGGGAGAGCTAGTGCCCAACAGCGCCCGGAGCTCAGATCTGTGTTTACTACCAAACAGTGTACTCACGCGTGCGGTGTTTGAGACTTTTTTCAACACAAGACACCACACAAACTAATCTTAATCCTCAGCGAAAGCTCCCTAGATACTCAGGGAGCTACTGAACTTAAAATCAAGACTAATTACTGATATTTTTATCTAAATACGAGTGTTGAGAATCCTCACGTGCTGTGAATCCACTCACAGCACGTGAGGCCGCCTCCACCACCACAGAATCTTTTCAGCAGCAAAACTGCTATATTTCATCAAAATACTGGGCCTAATCTCTACAAGAGACATTTACTCTGTGAACGGTCAGATTGGCGCTGGCACTCAGAAGGATAAGTCTTAAGTGTTTGTAGTGTATTTAAGTTGGCCAATTTTGCATGATTTAAGGGACCTAAAGTCCCCAAAAATATTTGAATTTAATGAAAAAAACTTAAAAAGTTATACAATTCTCCAATTATTTGGCCACAGCGTCGTAAAAATTTCATCCCAATATGTAAAGAAATAGATTTGATAAGAATATTTAAAAAATGTTATGATTATAAGGAGAACAGCTTCTATTAACTGGAACGGAGGGATAATGCAATGATAAAGAGACGCAAGCAACTGTCCGACGTACAAAGAAGAATAGTGGTTAGGAGGGTCCATAAAGTGGATTTGCAGCTGGGGCCTTTACACCATTGCTGAGTAATACATAATAACACAGTTAATAACGAGTAAGTATGTTATTATGCTGCATTTTGTTATGTATCATATAAATACATTGCCCAATGCCAAAATCTGTTAGCTTCACTAATGTCCAACAATAATTTTTTTTTTTGGGGGGGGGGGGGGGGTAGGGCAAATTAAAAAAAAAACTAGATTTTGTTTCCTATTTGCTTATAATCGGATTTTGTTGTAGCTTCTACATCTTGGGGAATGCTTACTCGTCACTATGTATGTGAAGAGTGAACGAAATTGGTCAACAAATTATTCACTTACAGGTGGCAGAGATTCTGACTTTTATTTTTTTTTTTTTTTACAAATTTTTTTTTTTTGCTGATTTTCAACTCTATTCTCTTTGTATTGAAGAATGGGGACCAGATGCAGGCCTTATCATTTTTTTTATTTATATATACAAGAGTTTCACATTCTTGTACAGCCACTAGCACGCATAGCATTTTGGGCAAGTCCTTAATCCTAATATTGCCAGGAATACGACCTGCAAAATCGTTTTATCAACCAGGTACCTATTTTACTGTTGGGTAAACAGAGGCTACAGTTAAGGATTCACACCAAGTAAATCCTCCCTGGCCAGGATACGAACCGAGGACAAAGCGCTCACAAAATGCCAGGCGAGTGTCTTACCACTTCAGCATATGGACTGTTAATTCAAATCCACTGGGACATATTTAAACTTATTATCCTTATTAACCCATTATCTTTATTCCTATATTTATTTTTATGGGATTATTTTTTCTTGACATTATTTCAACACATTGACCAACAACTTTCACATATTCGAGTATGAATGCCAAACAATATTTATTCAAACTTACAAGATATGACAAAAAATCGAACTGCTATATTTATTGTTTATTTTCTCCATGAATAGGATTTTCAACTTTGCTTAAATGCAGTTTCTGAGCGATTCTCACCATTTATACGTGTGTAAAGTTCTTCGTTTTAAGGTTTCTTCAATTGAACTTATTCAAAAGCTTACAAATTTTGGAGCTATAATTTTTGGCGTTTAAATTTTGCGCATATTTTGAAGGCCAAAGTGACTAATTTCTTACAATAACTATACTCTGAAACTCAATTTTAAATTGAGGAAAATGAATGTAATATACCATTCTGTGCCCATAATGAATAAAATAAAAACTGATGTAATATTAAATTCGTCAGCTTAATTTGAAATTGTGAAATTTTCGTTTTTTTTTAATAAATATTTTTTCCTGTTCATGTTATGACATTGAATCAATATTAAAAGTAGAGCATTTGCCACGTTGATTATGCTCAAAACGTTTGGGAGTGTTTGAGGAAGGCTGAGTAATCAGTCTTCCGGTCCCTTAATAACCTGAGGCGATCCAATAAGTCTGGTTGTCAAATCACAGGATAACACCTCAATATCCAGTAAGCATTTGACTTAATCATTTCAATTTAACTTAATCTCTTCAAGATAATTTTTTCAATTTAACTTAAATCTATTCAATTTAATCTGAATATATGTATAAAAATCTGTATATATAATTCGTTGGTATAATTTATCAATTGCTATCACAGTTGTCATTAATTTAATTTAACATATTTGTTTGTGTATTTGCTTATAAATCTTGCTTGAATCATATAACTAATTATATTTACCCAAATAATTTCATTATTGGCTGCAATATTCTTAGACCTAGGATAGACTGTCTATTGTTCACATCTTTTGATTATAGTACAGAACCAGTAAATACAGTAATTGTAGTGTGTTTATCCTTTAATATATTATAAAAATACCGGTTTATGTTCCAGTCATAACACAGTAACCAATTTATGTTCCAGTCATGATACAGTGACCGGTTTATGTTCCAGTCATGATACAGTGACCGGTTTATGTTCCAGTCATGACACAGTGACCGGTTTATGTTCCAGTCATGGTGCAGTGACCGGTTTATGTTCCAGTCATGATACAGTGACCGGTTTATGTTCCAGTCATGGTGCAGTGACCGGTTTATGTTCTAGTCATGATACAGTGACTGGTTTATGTTCCAGTCATGGTGCAGTGACCGGTATATATTCCAGTCATGACACAGTGCCCGGTTTATGTTCCAGGCATGATGCAGTGACCGGTTTGTGTTCCAGTCATGACACAGTGACCGGTTTATGTTCCAGTCATGGTGCAGTGACCGGTTTATGTTCCAGTCATGACACAGTGACCGGTTTATGTTACAGTCATGATACAGTGACCGGTTTATGTTCCAGTCATGATGCTATGACCGGTTTATGTTCCAGTCATGACACAGTGACCGGTTTATGTTCCAGGCATGATGCAGTGACCGGTTTGTGTTCCAGTCATGATGCTATGATCGGTTTATGTTCCAGTCATGACACAGTGACCGGTTTATGTTCCAGTCATGGTGCAGTGACCGGTTTATGTTCCAGTCATGGTGCAGTGACCGGTTTATGTTCCAGTCATGATACAGTGACCGGTTTATGTTCCAGTCATGATGCTATGACCGGTTTATGTTCCAGTCATGACACAGTGACCGGTTTATGTTCCAGGCATGATGCAGTGACCGGTTTGTGTTCCAGTCATGATGCTATGACCGGTTTATGTTCCAGTCATGACACAGTGACCGGTTTATGTTCCAGTCATGATACAGTGACCGGTTTATGTTCCAGTCATGACACAGTGACCGGTTTATTTTCCAGTCATGGTGCAGTGACCGGTATATATTCCAGTCATGACACAGTGCCCGGTTTATGTTCCAGGCATGATGCAGTGACCGGTTTATGTTCCAGTCATGATGCAGTGACCGGTTTATGTTCTAGTCAT